CGCCAAGTAACGCCCGGGTAACGCCGCCGGGGGGCGGTGTTTAACGCCCCCGGGGCGTGAAAACCGGCATAACGCCGGTCGGCGTTACGAGAATACCCACTGCTCTAAGAAATTCATGTTGTTAAGGTTTTTTTGGAATTCAAGCCAGCAGCTATATAACAAAATCTTGAATTAGCATAGAGTATGAGATGTTTAATAGAAACAAGTATCAACTTCAATACTTGTGTTTGCTAAAATAAAGTGTGTCCTTTTAAGATTTAATTCATGGAACTTTGATTAGGTTTTAGAATAACGCCTCAAGTGTGGATCACGTGACTGTAACGCCCCAAAATATATCCTAAAATTATTAATGAGTAATTATTCGATTAATCAAATTTGTTTTGATTAAAATAAATTGTTGTTGGGCTTTGGGCCAAAATAAAATGTGTTTTGATATTTAATATCACAATCATGATAAATCTCATAGAGATAAATCCAATATGTTGACTATTTGTGTGGTCTTGATTGAGAACCTGAGTACAGACTCATCAAGAATAAATAAATAAATTGTTTATAATGTGAACTTTGAAATGATTTACTGAAATAAATCATGAGAACAAATGATATGAATTAGATGTGAGAACCTTTTTGAATAAAGGTTAATTAAATCAATATTGACCCTCTCAAAGTCAAACACCCAAAAATATATCGGAAAAAGTATTACAAATAAATATAAAAATTATATCGTTGGATAGAATTTAACTGTCCGATCGCAATGGTGCAAACAGAATTCAATTCGGAGAAAGTTGGAACAAAAAGTGTACCCCGACTGAGACCAAAATTAGTCCCAATCAGAAAACAGCGCCTCCTCCTCCACTTAGCCGATTGAGAATTGATCCTACGCAAATCTTACGCAGCAGGCTTTGGCAACATCTCCAGCTTCCTCCTACATAATGCTACCACAACTTCCTCCATTCTTCACCATTTCTCATAATACTTCATTCTATTCTGTTCCTTGTTGAGAGAGGAGTGCAGTGATGCTATCAATTTGGTAAGAGGTCGCCAGAGCTAGCCACAAACCTCGCTGGAAGTTTCGCCGGAAAATTTCCAAAACCTTTGTTAAGCTTCGAGGTAAGCGCATAGATATATCTAGTGACTAGAATGTTCGTATAGATCATTTCTACGTTCGTAAACGGTCGTTTGGTTGACTTTTGTGTTTGACATGCTTGAAGAACCAAGAATCATAAACCATGAAATTGTTGTTAAAACTATGAATTAATGATATCAAAATGATTTATGAACCTTGGAGAACATTTCTATATAATTTAATTGATGTTCGGTGACTAAAAATGGTATTTTCAAATATGATTATTCACAATAAAAATAATGTTTTTGACATAATAATGTTATGTGGTGCATGACGGTAAGTTCGGGTGTTAACACTCGAAGCTAGGCCGCTGATTGTTATCGATTGTTATGTTGATTGATGATTATGATAAATAATTATTATGGATGATTATGAATAATGAATCTACTGATTAAAATGATTATGGATGATTGAACCATGAGTAAAATGAATACATTGATAATTATAAAATGACGTGTAATGTTAAGGGTATCTAGAAAAACTCTAAGATATAGGGGGTGTTTGTTTTTTCTGCAGGAAAAGGTCTGCGGTCTGCGGACCACTACTGTAGACATCTGCAGGAGAAGTGGTGGACCGAAGGTCTGCGGTCTGCAAGAAGAAGACTGTTTGTTTTTTTAATATCTGTAGACTGCTATATAAATTAATGGTGGTAGTGTATGGTGGTGGTGTATGGACGATTGTGGTGGTGGTGGTGGACGTTGACGGAGGTGGTGGTGGACGGTGGTGGTGGTGGCGGTAGATGGTGGCGGTGGTGGTGGACGACGATGGTGATGGACGGTGACGGTGATGGTGGACGGTGGTAGTGGTGGACGGTAGCGGTGGACGGTTGTGGTGGTGAAGAGAAGTAGAAAAAAAAGGAGAAGATGTTAGAAGACATTGGTTAATGTCTTCTCCAAGAAGATGTCAGAAAGACCTTTTTGAGTGAAATGTCTTGCAAAAAACAAACAATCTGCAGAGTCCATCGTCTACGCGCGTCTGCGCGGCGCAGACAAAAGACGCCAGAAAGTCTTCTGGCAGAAAAACAAACACCCCCATACCTATTTTGATAATTGATGTTCAGGCTATCTAGAAAACCTCTAGAATAGATCTCATATTAGTATGGATTTGTGAAACATGAATATTCGGTGATTGGATAAAAATGTAATAACTGAATCTGTAAACCAAACTAGAGAATCACTCGTTTGGAAACACTGTGGCTCAATGATGATTAATCACTGTATTGTTGTTGCCTTAAACTAACTATAGTTTAAGCATCTGAGAATTGTTGTTTGCCTTAAACCAATTATTGTTTAAGCGTCAGAGAACTATTGCCTTAGACTAATTAGGGTTTAAGCGTCGGAGAACTGTTGCCTTAAACTAATTATAGTTTAATCGTCTCAGAATCGTTTTCCTTAAACTAATTATAGTTTAAGCATTTGAGAATGAAACTATGATCAGCCTTAGACTAAGAATAGCTAAGAGCATTGTTATGATCTGGTCTTAGACTAAGAATAGCTAAGAACGTTGTTATTATTTGACGTTAGATTAAGAAAAATTTAAGAGCACTGCCGAAATAATATCTGAATTTAATAAAATGTGTTGATATAAACTGAACGATATGAAAAATGTGAATGTCTAAAATGAACATTGTGTGCATGATATCAAATGATTTGATTATGAATTTAGATTCAGTTTATATAGATGTTCGACGCATTAGATATGCTTACTCAACTTTACCGCTGAGCGTGTAGTGTGTTTTATTTGTTACACATAGGTAAACAGAGAGAACAATGTGATCCTGGTGGCAGATGGGGCGAGATTGTCGGGATGGATGTGACAAGTTTTGAAATTATTTATGATATGTCAATATTGAATTCGCTTCCGCAATATTGTTGAATACTCCATACTGTATATGTTATGAAATATACTATTGTGATAAATAAAAATATTTGAAAAGTTTTAAATTTTTACGATTACTAAGTTAATACTTTAATCCGGAAGGAGGTGCAGACCTGGACGGATTAGGGTGTTACAGAGAGAATGCACCTTGGTGAAAGAAATAAGAATAAAATCTAGCCTTTGGATCTGATTCATCGTGCAGCTCAAATTGCATCCTGCGCTCAGATTTTAAGATAGTGCATTTTGAAAGATTTTTGGTGCATTTGGACATGACGCATTTTCAAACCATTTTGGTGCACCTAATTTTGATGCAATCCTGACCCTTAAATCTCACAATCTAAAGCACCATATTCATTCTTATTTCTTTCATAATATCACATTCTTATTGTTCTCTAGAGGGGCATTGGCCTAGTCCTCCCCTCCCTGTATCTTTCTTTTACCTTTTTGAAATAAAATTTTCGTTTTATTAATATATATATATATATATATATATATATATATATATATATATATATATATATATATATATATATATCAACTTATTCTAGAAGTATGTTTGCGTAGTGGCAATGAAAGAAGTCACTCTAAACTTCTCTACATCTAGTGTTTGAGGCAGACCTTCCATATGAAAAAGCCACAATTTTACATGATTCTTTTGGATTAATATAATTTTAATTAAACATCATAAATTGAAACAGACCATTTAATTTAGAAAGAGAATTTAAAATAGATGTTAAAGAAGAATATGAAGAAATGGATAAAAGAATGGATGGGAAGAGAACCATACCATTGAAGAAGGTAGAAGAAATACTAAGGCGAGTAGTGAGTGGAAGTTAGTCCGTCCCCAAGTCATTTTCGAGGATGTTCTATATACCAACGATTAGGGGTGTTCAAAAATATCCGATCCGAAATATCCGTCCATGATCCGGGCCGATCCGATCCGAAAATGGATATCCGATCCGATATTTTAGCTTGCGGATATTTCGGATCGAATACCCGAAAAAAATCGGATCGGATATGGATTAAATTTTTGGATTTTTTCGGATAATCGGATATCCGAATTTTTTTTTTGCTATATGTTTTTGGAATTTTATGGATATATATTATGACTATATGTTTAAATGTAATTTTATGTTGATTTTGGAAATCACCCATTTTGGACTTTTTGCATTAACATTTTAGAATTTTTTGTTTTAATAGTGTTTTTTTTGCTTGTTTAGGCAAAATTACAAAAGTTACTCCCAAATTAAATTTGGTATCATTTTTTTATTAGGCCATTACCAAGTGGTGGAATTTTTCTTTTAGTAAATCTATATTGAATTTGATATTTTGGGTTGATTTTGCTATTTTACCTTATTTTTTGTAAATTTTGGCTAAAAACTAAACTTTTCGGATAATTCAGTGATCCGATCCGAAAAATCGGATATCCGAATTTCGGATATCCGAATATTTTCGGATCGGATATGGAATGAGTTTTGCATGATCCGAAATTTTCGGATATCCGAATTTTCGGATCGGATCGATCCGATTGAACACCCCTACCAACGATGCTTCCATTTTAAGTGTTGAATTGAAGACATTCTCATCACAATCTAATGACACAATTATACATAGCATTAATGCATTTTACAAGGAACCCCCCAAGGCACAAGATTTATTTGCAACAGTTGTATGGTTATCTGGTTAAATCCCAGTTGAAAAATACAGAGTATACATAAGTTTTTTGGG